TTTATAAAAATGGGAAGCCCCACTCCGCATAATAGCCTAACAGCATAAAATCTTCAATACTAAACAAATCTTCCAACAAACATATGAAGAAACCAAACTATCGATGATTAAAAAAAAAATCACAGTAATAAAAATAAAAGTTATATCCAATGAAATAAAAACAACTTACAACCGGAGAATTTATTTGGAATATATAAACGGCTAAATGTAGCTGTACAAAAAAAAAAAAAAAAAAAAAAAAAGTTCTTGGAGACTTTTAAGATCTAAATACGATGGAGTAGTTCGTGTGAAAACCTCTACTCATAGCCTGTAATCAAAGATCATATTCAATCAGCATTTTAAGATTATGAAGAAATGACAATTCTTCTTTTTTCTAATTAACTTTCGTTTAGATAAATGACATTTCGTTTACACATTTTGTACTTCCAATTCTTATTAATATATTATACTTTGAAAGATCTACCTAATTATAGCAATGATAATTGCTTTATAATTGGATAATATTTTCAAAGTACAATGCTCTATTACAAAAAAAAAAATCAAGGAAATTACAATGCTATTTTTTGAATTTAACCCTATTTCTTAAACATCAATCATCCACAATGAACACATCTACTTACAGTCAAATTTACTCAATTGTGAGAGCCGATTGCTTAATCTTCATCAACAATACTCCAAATCATCCTAAAAGCAGTACCCAAAAAAAAAAAAAAAAAAAAAAACTATTAACATGATTTTCAAGTGATTTAAAATTGGGTATTTTAAATTTTTAATGAGTTTGAAAAACGTACCAAAATATAGAGAAGAAAAGAAGGAAACCAAGATAACAAAGTTTAAATATTCGTTGTTTCTTTTGACTTGAAAGCTCATTAAAAACCTCTGTTGCATACACTACATGGCGTCCATGAATGTACCTAAAAATAAATTTATGTTAGAGGGTAATAGTTTTTGTATCATGTTTAATATAAAAAAAATATATGAAATAATATATAAGTTTTGAGAACTTTAATACGTGTGTTGCATTTTATAGAAAATAGTAAATGTTAATATTTTATCTTTGTAAGTACAAGATTGGGCAAAATATAGAATAAAACAATTGTACTTTCACCATTTTATCGAGTTAGCCACTTAACTATTTTCTGTAGTTAAATTTTTTAAACCTTTAAAAAAAAATCATTTTTCCTGGTTACCCGATTTTTATATCAGAGAAAAACACATAAAAGCGCAACATACTTTCACCATTTTATAAATTTAGTTAATAAACTATTGTTTTTTATTGATATTAGCCACTAACCCATTATTATAACAATCATAAATAAATAACAATTCAATAGCTAAATCAAGAGTAAATTACACGAATGGTCCCTATGGTTTAAGGTAATTTGCATGTTTGGTCCCTAACTTTTTTTTTGACTCGGAAGGTCCTTACTGTTTGTTTTTATTACGCACTTGGTCCCTATCTTACCTAAAAGTACTATTTTTCCATTGATTTTTTAATTTATTTAAACAAACACACCCTCAATCTCACCCCTCTCACCTTACCTTACCTACCCCACCATTTTCCCTATTTAAATAATGGTATTTTTAGGTAAGACGGGAACTAAATGCGTAACAAAAACAAACAGTAGGGACCAAGCGCGTAACAAAAACAAATAGTAGGGACCTTCCGAGTTAAAAAAATAAGTTAGGGATCAAGCACACAAATTATCCCAAACCATAGGGACCATTCGTGTAATTTACCCCTAAATCAATAAATTATTAAAAGTACATTGTACTTTTATGTATTTTTCGCCATGCTAAATCAATAAAAGGTTGTGCTTTTCTATATCTTTCCCTATAAGATTTGACCAAAAAGCCATATCTTTAAAAATACTAAAAGGTGTAGATTAAGTAATTCAACAATCTAATGAAGATTAAGAAGTGCACTTACAGATGAACATTATAAGATAAATATGGAAGGCAAAATAGGAACATTATCCAATGCCTTGTGACAAGATGTAAAAAGCATAATCCTCCTTGAGTAATCATCTCAGGCAACATAATGTTGTTTATCTTAGTTGCTAATTCATATGGGTTTATATAATCAGTCTCTAAGTCCAAAAAGCACATTATCTGCAACAAAAAAGATTGTAACTGTTAAATACCAAGAATACCCCTCATTGTTTAAATATCAAGAATGCACTCAACAATCATAAAGTAGAGAAATTTTGTCAACCATATTGAATGCAATCGATATTTTAAAAAGATTACTAATGGGTATAGAAGTAAAAAACCAGTCTTGTAGTGTTTCGCATATCCGAATTTGATTTTGAATTCTAATCTTTTAGGACAAGATAATCAAATTTTGGAAAGCATGTAAGAAGATGCAGAAAGAAAACTTCTTTTTCATTCGAACTAACCCTTTAAGTTTAAGCACTTTTTTACTTAACAATTCTCCTTAAAGTTCACAAATTTATGCAAGAACAAATCTAGTGCAATCGCCTAATTACATATCCTCTATCTCTTTAAATCAATGGAAGAAGGGTGTTTAGTTTGTAGAACTGGTGGTCGATTGACAAAAACATATAGGCAAAACGAAAAACTGAAACTTTCATACAAAATCAGCAAAATTTATTGCAATTCATGGCAAATGTTAACCGATAAACATGGAACCCGAAGTCAGAAAATTGAACAAATTAGGTTAAAATAAATCAAATGTTCTAGCAATTGTAAAACGTAATAGAAAATTGTGAAACACTAACGAACAAAGTCGAGGTGTAGTTGATAAATGCATTCGAACATGAATTGAAAACCGAAGAAAAAAGGGTTGCAATTGAAAGAATGTGTGTGTGAGTGTGTGTTGTTGAAGTTACCTGGTAAAGAACAAGCGCTATGACTGCTAAGAGGATGAAGAAGGAGAACAGCCATGCGATTAGATCTAACATCTCTAAACCCCTAAACTGTGTGTTTGATTTGAATGACAGCCGAAAAGGAAGACTCCTCAAGTCTTTGTATGGGGTTTGGAATCTTTGATGCTTTTGATGATCTAATCTCTTTAACGCCTTGTTCCCGAGTTCTACTTAAGGAGAGAAATGAGAGGATACGGAGGGAAAGTGAGGGGTGTCGAAGGAAAATCACGTTCCCGAGTTTCATTAATGGAAGGAAAGTGAGGGGAGGGGAAGGATTTTGGAGTCAAATTTTCCTTCCAAATTTTCCTCCCAAATTGGACGGATTTGGGAAGAAAGTGAGGGGAAGAAAAATTTTATGTTTTATTTTCTTTTTCCTCCTAACTCGGGAACACAAAAACTTAAAATTTTCCTTCCATTTCCTTTCGTTTCCTTCGAACTCGGGAACACGAAATAATGAATATTTTCCTTCACCTCCCTTTCTTTCCGTCATAATTTTCCTTCACTTTCTTTTAATGAATTTACAAAAAAAACTCAGGAACAAGGCGTAAAGTAACGCAGGCATATTTATACGAGTTTTTTTATATTATAATTATTTTAACCTATATACGTATAAATAAATCTACCAAATCAAATTTTGGTAAATATCATTTGACATTATTTTTTCGGGATTTTTATATGTTTTTTTCATTATATTTTTTTGTATTTTTTATTTTCTTAAATTCAAATTTATATATAATATATATATTATATATATATATATATAATATATATATATATATAATATATATATATATATATAATTAGATTATTCTATTAAATTTTAGAGAAATTAAATATTCTCCTATATTTTATTCCTACTTATCTTTCTGCCCAATCAAATGTTAACACGTGTCACATTTAATGATACAGTTAATGAAATTAATAATATTTTAGTTCACTTATCACCATTTAATATTGGTAGGAAAATAGTAGGACTAAAATGTAGGAGAATATTTAATTTTTATAACAAACACTCTAAGTGTGTTTGTTTTCTTATGAGAACCCTTAAAAGTTAATAACCATTTAAGAACCAATTTCATTAAGGGTTTTTTTTTCTATTCCCCTAATAGTTTTATTAAAACCCATTTTCTTACACACACATAACTCATTATATCTTAAAATCAGATCTAGATCTAGATCTGAACTCTTTCTTTCCTCCCAGTTAGCTTCAGTCAGATAAATCTCTCCCTTTGATGCCCTTCACTGACAGTGTCGACGACAGCCACCGACCTCCGACGATTATCACTATTGTCGTTGCTCCGGTGACCTGTTGCTACCAACAACGTTAAAGCGCCACCAGATTTGTAACCATCGATGTGAGCTACCATTATCACCGTCGAATTCTTGTTACCATCGTCGGCGTCGGTCTTCTACACCTTCAGATTTTTGATTTGTGGTTCGTCTGCAACCGCCGACCTCTCCAAATAACCAAAAAATGTCGTCGTTGTTGCCTCCTCGCCATAGGCCACCACAAAAGTCAACAACCACTATCTGCCTCTTATATCTGAAACCAAAGACACCGATTTTTCAGATCTAGTCAGATCTGATCTGTTTGGTACACTTTTAGGCATAGATCTACATTATATCCTACCATCGGTGAACCTACTCTTGAGATCAACGGAACACCAAATATGCTACCTAACACTAGATTTGCATCAGATCTAATGTATTTGATGCATTTCATGTATGGATCTGGTTTGTGTGGTACATCTCATTATGGCTTGCATCAGATCTAAATTTTTACAGATAAGTTTTCGATTAACATCAAGTATGTCGAGTTTTATAGATAAATCTTTTTTTTTTCATTTTCTACTTAATTGTTATATTATGTGCATAAAAATGTTATTCACAACTTAAACTTTATGGTTGTTATGTTGTGAATTAAATATAGAATGTCTGTATGTTAATGTTTTTTTAAATAATATGAATTTAGGTTTTTCTTAAAGTGTAAATTCTGATGAATATCTGAACTCTATCTAATACAACCTTCAAACACCACTAGATGTAAGTATAAACCTGTGAATGAGTTGTGAATGTACTTTATTATATTGTGAACTTTTTTATTAACCTGTGAATTAACTATATATTATTTTATGTATTGAGTATGTTAAGATATGAACTTTTTATGAATTTTATGTTTACTTCTGAAATATAAGATGAAATAACCATTATAAATAGATTTGTTTTTTATTTTTTTATTTTTAATAAAGTATGTAAATTTTAAACTGTGGATGTTGTGTAATTAAACTTTGAAAGTATGAATAGTCTCCAGTTTTGAATGTATAAATGTAAGTTTTTAGTAGAGTATATGATTGTAAATATATAAATTTTTTTGTATTAAACTGTTAATTATGAATTAAATTGTTATTTATTTTATTGCTTTTAAAATAGGAGATAAATGAAACATTATACATACATATGATTTTCTCTATTTTTTTTAATAGAGTATGCAAAGTTTGAACTGTGAATATTATGTAAATAAAACATTGAAAAAAAACATTACACTTGAAATCTAAATGTATAAGTATAAGTTTCAAGTAGAGAATATGGCTGAGAATATATAATTTTTATATATTAAATTGTAAATTTTTTATATTAAGTTGTGAGTTTTATGTATTAAATTATGAATCGACTATATTAAGCTGTGATTTTTTTTTATTTTTGTGTTAAAACATGAATAATTTATATATAAATGCATGTATTATTTTTTTTATGAATATATTAATTTTTTATGTGGTATAAATATGTAAGAATGTATAAGTGTTTATAATTTCTTTGCATTAAACTCTAAATTAATAAATTATTAGGTTTATTAAATTGTAAATGTAATATTTAAGTTGTCAACGTATTATTTTATATGCATATCTGATTTTGAAAGAATGATAGTTGCAACGCAGGAATAGGTGGTTGGTGTCGGTGTGTTGCGGTTGATGGTGGTGGCGGTTGTAGAGTTTGAGTTTGACTTCTTAATTGATGTATAATAGATTGTATTAAGTTGTGAATTTTGTGATGTAAAATGCGAATGAGTTGTATTAAGTTGGATATTTTATATAATTTTCATGTGAAAATATGAATAAATGTATGAATAAAAATATTATAGTGTAAAAATTACGGTTTTCCCTTTTTCTTACCAAAAAGACAAAAAAAATCATGATGTTAACATATTAAATAGGAAAATGAGGGTTCTTATGGTTCTTAATCTTTTATGGTTCTCATTTGATCCACTCCATATATATATATATATATATATATATATATATATATATATATATATATATATATATATATATATATATATATATATATATATATTGTAACGACCCAAAAATCGCTACTAAAAATATCTTTTAAAAACATTACTAAACCCATATTTATAATCACCATATCATAAGTCGTAATATAATTTCCGAGTATTAATTCGAAACATAATCTTGTTATCAGAGTAGAACATTCCCAGGCTAACTGACTATGGTGTGTGCGCTGCAACCTCTCCGAGCTCCTCTTTTGAAAACTGAGTACCTGAAACCAAAAACTGAAACCGTAAGCACAAAGCTTAGTGAGTTCCCCCAAACTACCACATACCATACAATAACATATAAAGCACATACTGGGCCTTACCCACTGCATCAGACCGAGGTCCGGACTAACTGGGGCCTTGCCCCCTGCATCGGACCGAAGTCCGAAAACTGACTGAGACCTTGTCCCCTTCATTGGACCGAAGTCCGGACTAACTAGGGCCTTGCCCCTGCATCGGACCAAAGTCCAGAAACTTATTGGGACCTTGTCCCTTGAATCGGACCGAAGTCCGGACTAACTGCATCGGACCGAAGTCCGGAACTAACTGAACATAGCATAACATAAACATATCAACTAGCATGAACACATATACTGCATACTGCATCGGGTCGTAGACCGGAACACATAACACATAAATCCTGTCTGAGCCACGAAGGCATCAAACATACTAACTATTGCATCGGACCGAAGTCCGGAAACTACTGCTAGCTAAACGGGTCGACATTGTGGCCTTAGACCCGTTCCTACTGGAAGGAAACTCACCTGAACTGCTGAGCTCTGCTGATAACCCTCTGGCTGCTAACCGACAACCCTCTGAGGCGTTGTTCCTCTAGCTCTTCGAGCTACCAATAATAATATAACACTTAGTCTAACAGTCCTCCAAAAGTCAACTAAGTCAATTCTTGAAAAAGCCAAAGTCCTGGTCAAAGTCAACCTTCCAGGTTGACCCTACTCGCCGAGTCAGTCTACTGACTCGCCGAGTTCATAAGCTCTGAAACCCCTTTTTATTCGCGACTCGACTCGCCGAGTCAGACCATGAATCGCCAAGTCTACTGATTTCCGAGTTCTGACCTGTCCAATGCACTGAGTCTCCACTCCACTCACTAATCCGAGTCTTAACTAGAAGGGTTTGGGGGTTCGCGACTTGACTCATCGAGTACAAGAACAGACTCACCGAGTCCAAGGCGATCTTCAACAGACTCGCCGAGTTGTTCCTCCAACTCATCGAGTTCTTGCCTATCTTCATCCAACTCGCCGAGTCCACCCATGTGACTCGCCGAGTTTCTTCAATTCTTAATCCATACAGTGACTTTTCGAGCCATGCAGGGGCTCCAAACTGCAGATCCACTCTTCTAAGGCATAACTCCCATGTAAAGTTGCAAACTTTACATGAAAGCAAGGAGTTAAAGGTCCAAATCACTCTAGGGCTAGGGTTAAAGACAAAGGGGCCTCACCAACAACTCATGGACTGATGCTTTATGACATTCTGGACCAATACAAGTCTAGATCTGGAGTAGCAACCTCATAACTGAACTCCAAACCGGAAATGGTTCTCACTCATACCAAAATGGCCCCAAATCTCATTCAAGAATAGGTCTAGAAGCAACAAGGAAAGGTAACAGCTCATTACCTTCAAGATGTGCCCAAAATTCCAGTGGATTCTGGATCTACACTACTTTCTTGATGCAAACTCTTTTGTTCTTCAAGTTTCTATCACTATAACACCTCTCAAAGCTTCAATCTCCCTCCAATGGCCTTACACACACGAGTTAGGATTTACTGGACCTCAAAGGGGGCTAAGGGAGATGAGGGGAGAACATTGAGTCCTTTTAAATAGGGTGCAATCCCGAAGATTAGGGTTTTTCTCTTTCCATCACCAACTCATCGAGTCCAACTTCTGACTCGATGAGTTGGTCACTTAATTCGCGACCCAAACTCGCTCCGACTCGGCGAGTAAGTATACCTACTCGTCGAGTCCCTTCTTTAATTTACACTTTTAGTCCTTAACTCAACTTCTAAAATTTGGGATGTTACATATATATATATATATATATATATATATATATATATATATATATATATATATATATATATATATATACGGTTTAGGTCATTTTTTGGTCACTTACCTTTTGACTTTGTGCTCATTTGGTCACTTAACTTATTTTAAGTTTTAAAAGATCATAGAACTTTTGACTTTATGCTCATTTAGTCACCTAACTTTTGGTTTGGTCACTGAACTTTTGGATTTGTTCTCATTTAGTACCCTAACTTTTAAAATTATGCTTATTTAGTCACCTAACTTTTAAAATTGTGTTCATTTTTATATCTTTATATTAAAAGTTTAGTGACTAAATGAGCACAAATCCAAAAGTCAAGTGACCAAACCAAAAATTAAGTGACTAAATGAGCACAAAGCGAAAAGTTTGATGACCTTTTAAAACTTAAAAGGAGTTAAGTGACCAAATGAGCACAAAACCAAAAGTTGTGACCAAAAATGACATGAACTTATGTATATACTAGGTAAGTTTCGAGACATGTGCTAAGTACGACTCAATAAAGGTCAATATCTTGATAAATAGAAATAAACATGCAAGGTTGTAATAGGACGACCCATGAGTATAGTAAAAAGAGAGCTTAAGAATGACCTTGAAATTGGGAGTAGTTGAATTACAATGTTATGAATGGATGGATTTGCATCGTACAATGCCTTGATAAAAAGAAATTAAAGTGGGGTGCTATTACACAAATAGATTAAAGTAGCTTGCCATTTCTTGCATATAGTCAGAACGTCTTTCCATTCCCATTAGTATATGGGTCCTCATATTTGTCTCCTGTCTTAGTATCACGAAGTAAAAAAATCATGTAACGTCCCAAAATTCAGGTACATCTCTTAAACCCTTCTTCTTTTCCAGATTGTCAAATTTAACCCTTAACATAAAGTTATGGCAAATGAGTATGTTGGGCGTACCGAAGAGTACGCTGCGCGTACTCATGTGCTTAAGTTGGACGCATACTCACCTAGGTACGT